TATTATGAGTGAATATTTATAGTAATAATTGTACAGTTATTACATTTAGTAACATTTATAAAATCTGGATAATTATTCCCCCTCGCTTTTAATAATTGTCACATTTTTCTCAAAACGATTTGACCGTTCCATTTAAGTCACCGGTGACTCAATATTATCTGACTGATTCACAGTGTCACTGCAAAGAATCCTGTTAGCTATTTCATTTTTGTTACTTAAACTGTCAGCAACATAACTTTCTGCAACTGTTGCTGATTTCCACCCATGTCTCTTGATTGCTAATACATCAACTCCTGTATTAGCCAGTAACGTTGCCGATGTTCTTTGGTATGAATGGCCTGTATATGTTGCAGGATGTTCTAGTTTCAAAAACTGTGCAATATTATTAGGAATCATAGAAAGGGTATTCTAACCGACTGGTTGATTGTAACATCTACCTGCTTGATAGCGCATAAAAAAGCGTGAAATTTCAGTTTTAAGTTCCAATCTAAACTCGTCCTCGACTGGTAAATAATACTTACCTCCTTTATGGTGTAAATAACAATTGCAGTTTTATAAAATGTATAAAAAAAATTAATAAAAACACCCTTATTGATCTGACAGATTTGATCTTTAAAGTTATTTCTTGTCGTTAATAAAAAATATTTGTTACTATTTTTTTGAAGCACTGTGTTTAGTTTATAAATCTCTGTTTCAATGGTCTCTGACATTGACCTAGTTTTGGGTAAAATACATTATATTAATCCACCTGATGTGAAATGGCTACAGGTCGCTAGGTAGGCAAAAAAAATATATCGACCAAATTTAATTCGGCGAAAGGATAATGGTTGAATATGCATTTATTTTAATTTTCAGTTAATTTTATACGGTGGTTGTAATTTCGAGTTATGTTTTAAAAAGTTGGGAAAATTGGAAAAATTCAGGCTTCTAGACATATTTTACATAAGACGTATTTTAATAAAATTCAGTGAATAAGAAAACAGCATACATATTTTAATAAAACTTTTATAAAGTGACAAAAAATCATCAAATTTCTAAAAGAAGCAAAATATAACTTCTCTATATCTCAAAAAATAATATTCAGAGTATATTCTAACTTGAGATTTAACGAAATTTCGGCATAAAAGCAAACTGAAAAAAGTGGTCTCGGAAAGAAAATATTTTTTTGAAAATTCTCCTAAAATATATCCAAATTCCTTGTCTGACTTTGACTCATTTGAGCATATATCTGATACTTCTAAATTTTCTAATTGGTCATCCTGAATAAATTCATAATATGCATTTTCTTCTAAATGCGGATTTGTTTATAAAAATATATTCTGAAAGTTATTTTTTAAATACATGATAGCATTTATATTGGCAAGCAAGGTATCTAGAACTCCCGGATTGTAGATGATTGTAAAAGTTGGTTCTCCTTTTGATTTTATTACTTTATCTTTGTATTTTTGCATTTTAAGAATGACTCTTTCGGACGATAATAAAAAAAATAGAGTAAAATGGGTCAATTACGTATGTCATATATTAATATATTGCAAGAAGTCATTGTTAATTGCTCAAACAATTAACGGTGTTCGAACCGTAATATGTGGAATAAATTTTTAAATGGGAAATGCAAATAGGTATCTCCCTTGTTAGGTAAATTTATGTAAACGACTTCATATTTTATGGCGAATTTATAACGTTAAATATTCGCTAATTGCTCACTGCCCACATTTGGCTTGCTTATTTCACCAGAACTGATTTAATAACTCTGCGGATAGCCAAGACATTCCTGTTGTTTAACTGTTTTGTAATTTATTTCAAATCCAGACGTAGTAGCAGGATAGAATGTCGGCCAGCAGCTGCTGATATGACCCATTGGAAAAATTCGTTGAATGATCTTGTTACGAACAAATTCCTTGGGGTTAGGGAATGTGGGATACCCATAAATCATAGAAAATCCATGTATTCGAAGTTTGGAACTATCAATTTAAATTTTAATTGAAACACAACTAAAAGCTATTGACATTTATTTATTATTTTAATGAATTTGAACTTTGAATTTTCCCATTTTGTAGGTTAAACGAGTGCCGAAAATTACATCATCGTCTCTAGGACGGTAATGCAATTTGCTTGACCTCTGCTGCGTTCAGAGGCATTTGTTTAATCGAAAAAGTACGTGGCACGTAATAAGTTGATGGTCTTGATGTCTACCGATCGATCATAACTGTTCGGTTTCTGTCGTTCGTTTAAAATAAGGTTCGATTAATGCGGTGAAATTGTGCTGTGATTGATTTAAGTGTACCGTATGTCAAGATATTAATTCTGTTTGCATAAAATCAAGGTTGTATCAACGTTTGTATGGAACAGAATAGTACTATTTTAAATATTTCTTAATATACAACTGCCCAACAGCAATACCCATTTACAGGACAAGCTAGTTAATAAGGAATAAACAATCAAAATTGTCTATGAAAAAATAAAACAAACAAATTGAAAACAAAATAACAAGCAAATACTAGTAATAGTTACTTTTTCGTCTTCATCCTAGGGTAGGCAGTCTTTCTGGGATATATAGAATCCATTCTACTTTTTGTTGTAGGATAATATTACAATTTTTCAATATTCAAGTTGAGATGATTTAAGTTCATACTAGTCATTAATCTGTTCAAGGTTATCATGTAACAATTCACAGTCTGTAGCATTAGATACTGTCTAGTAGATTTTCATATCATTTACTTATAGTAAGTATTTGACGTCAAGGAAGGGAGATATATCAATAACATAAATGTTAAATGATAGGGGGCTCGAAAGTGAACCTTGAAGAACCCCAGATAGTGCACTAAATTGTATCGACTTAAATCTATGACACTGAAGAAATTATTGACTGTATTGGCCGTATTGGTGACGTTGGGGAAAATTATCCAAAACCCCATTTTGCCCCTAATTTTAAGTGACAGGGATACCAAGTTAAACTTAACAGGAAGTCGTAATTGTTTACTAAGATTTATTTTAATGTCAACCATACGACATGGTCTAAATGTGATGTTATTTATTCAACTCGCTTGCTGGAGTAATATTCTTAGATAAGAAAAAAACGTGCAGTGCCTTGCCAACAGGGAAATACACACGAAATCTTCTATGCACTGAAAGTTTTCTTTATTTTTAGTAAGTAAGTTATCTTAATATCCCGCTTGCCAAGTGATTGCATCAAACGGTGTTCAAGAAAAGCAACAGCGTGAAGTATCTGCTTACATTTTTCACATTGGAAATGTTTAAGGAATGGTTAGTGTAACGCTAGATGTTAGGAAAATATACAGGGTGTAAGAAGTTTGACTGCCATTGCCTCAGCATGAAATGGAGTAATCATAAATGAATAAAAAAGTTGTGTATACAGTTTAGGACCCATGTCATATAAGGTTTTTTTGTTTATTTTAATGTATTCTATCGACTGTTATAATTAATGCAGTCTCAAACATCTAACACCCTACATAACCGGGCATATATTTTTAAAGTGTAACAAATGCTCGGTCGCGCTCGCTGCGCGTAGGAGTGGTCCGATCGGAATGATTTTAGTATCGTTATTTAGGTTGGACCTTTCTGTGTCGAATAGAAGTGATCCGGGCATTTCACGATCACGGGACTGGCGATGAGGAGGAAGATGGTCCTCTACATTTTGGCATTTTTTATTTGTTGATTTTTAAATGCATACCACAACGTTTGTGTAAATACATAAATAAATCCATTTACCGGGTAGGAAAGTACCGATGGTCTATCTGAAGTTACGTGAGAGCGACAAAGTAAGCCATAGAAATCCATGTGATAGACAAGGATGGGTATAGTGAAGGCGTCTAATAGTCACCGCCCATTTCGCCCTTCCACAAATAAGAAGTGGATCTTATTTGTGGAAGGGCTAAACGGGCGGTGACTATGAGACGCCTTCATTATAGCCATCCTTCTCTATCGCATGGATTTCTATGGCTTACTTTATCGCTCTCATGTAACTTCAGATAGACCGTCGGTACTTTCCTATCCGATATATACCAGTGATGAGGTGCTTTTTATCCATGTAAATTTTTTGATAAATTGCTTTCTCACATTTTATCCATGTAAATTTTTTGATAAATTGCTTTCTCACATTAATTAAATAGTTTAATGTAAGAATGAATTGCATAATGTAAATTTAGCATTTTATCCACATTTAGTCCTACTGCATTATTGCGTGAATTTGGAAAGGTCCGTTTTGAAAGGAGGGCAGAAACTGTTCTTAGATTTACTTTTACCCGAGAAAGATAAATCTGTGATTTAAAATCATGATTTAAACTTATATTTACTTCTTCTTTGTTACGAAATCTTAGTCCTGTAGAAAATTATACGTATAAATTATTATGCGGGAAGTATAATTTAAAATATTCCATTATTTCAATAAATTGTACTGTCAAAAATTTTGTATATCGCTAAACGTTATGAAGAGGAGATTAGTGAAGAGAATAGAGAAAAGTAGAATACATTAAAGGTGCTTTGCTGCATATAAGTTGACAATGATTTATTGAATTTCTAGTAAAAGTTTCTTTGATATATAGTTTTGTAAAAAAGGATATCTTCTAAAAAATAGATCTTCCGTAGACCTTGTACTAAAAATAATTTAATTCTCACATAGTATAAACTATAAAGTATAATACCTACTGTCACATATTTTTGAAAATGTCATTTTCTTTTTCTAATTTCAATATCCACTAACTCTAAAACGAAAAATTTCCTGTTATTTCTTTGTAGGACGTTTTTCAATTTGTGCCTGAATTCAAGTTTAAATTTTGGCCGATTAATCCTAAAACACCCTGTACACTTACTTGCCGCCGTGTACCTACAACGCAAAGAGAACACTCGTCTGCTCTTTTCCGCCTTATCCAACCAACCGGTCCGTTTATTTATTTTTTTATTTTGCTCGGCGTAATTATTAATGTTTTATGTCTCGTCGATTATTTCGTATCAATTTGCTAATGATCCTCATTTCATTGCAGGAAGCATTCCAGAGAGCACAGGAAGCGCAAGTCGAGCACAGGTTTCCGGTGAGTGATTAGATTGGCTGTAGCTTTTAATTAATTAATTTATGCAACGCGAGGTACGCGAAGATAACGATCTCTCGGGTTTGCCAAGGAGGTGGGTATAACGCCAAACGTACCGGATCGGATACCGCGGAATAATTTCTAGTTCGTATCTTCGAATTTCAAAGATACGTTTTATGTTTTACGCGAAAGCGAGGCACTGTACTGGAACGCAGTGTGCTTTGCACGGACTGTCTATTGTTTTGAAGATAGGTATCTGGATGCTGTTGGAAGTTACAAACTGAAAATCCTGTTTTATTGGATTTGTAGTGAATGAAATTTTATTGTAAATGACCGTTATGTGTGCTGTTTATTCCTGGGTATACCTAATAGGTTATATCTTAAACGAAAGTAAATAAAATAGAAATATATTTTTAGAGAAGCTCCATTTCTTCTCGACAACATTTAATTATTTCTTGAGTTTCGAATAAATGAATAACTCAAACACATATTTATCTTTTGTACGTGATTGATTCAGTAAAGAGTGACCGCAAAAAAACTGTGATTTTCGCAATCGCTGATAATTAAAAAAATACATAAAAATATGTTTTTGGTCGCAAATTACTTATAAAAAACTGAAATGAGCATTTTAGTATTTTGAAAATTTTAAAGATCACCCCTACTTAGGGGTTTGAAAAAATGCCAAAAATGAAGAATTTAAATATTACCAATTGATATAAAAACTATTAGCATATGAATTATCTTAATACAAATATTTTTTTTGGAATTTTTACAATTATTTCTGATATTCTCTATTTTTGGGGGATGATTCCACCCTCTGAGCGTGCTTAAGAGTGGATTTTCTAATTCAACATGCTTATTTCAGTCATGAGAATAAATCTTTGTATCAGAATCATTCGATAGTAAAATTCACATGCTAATGGTTTTTATATTTATTTATTATTCAATTCTTCATTTTGAGCGTCATTTCAACCCCTAAATGGGGTGATTTTTAAAAATTTTCAAAAAACTATAAGCTGTGCTCATCTTAATTTTTTACGACGAGTAATTTGAGACCAAAAACACATTCTTATATATTTTGTTTAGTTCTCTTCGAAAACGGTCTATTTTTGCGGTCACTCTTTTTATCTTCGCTTGCTCAAGCTTTATTATCTACGTCAAATATATTATAATTGTGCGTATGCAATTTATTTCAACTCACAATCAAATTAAAACCTTTTTTCACGAATCACCCTGTGCACACTAGTAGTTATTAATATTTTTAAATTGAAAATGTTTTTTTTAAAATCCATTTTTTTTCGCCAAAAAATGTTAAATATTAAAAAAATTAAAAAATAAAATTTAAAAAAACTAATTTCTTTGACAATACAAATTGACAATCGTCAAAAAATATTGTTTATTTTGCGACTGATTGAGGGAATGTACAACTCTTTTTTTTGATATCTAACATTTGTTGATAACAAAAAAAAGTTGATTTTTGCAGATACTAACACATTTTCAATTAGAAAAAATGATTGGAAGATGCAAAATTTATTCTTTAATTATTGATTTTCAGCAAAAGTCACTATTTCAAATTCAAAAATATGTTTCCCTATCTAAAAATTCAAATTCACTTTAAAAGTCATAAAAATCAACTATCTAAAATAAAAAATAATCTGTCTAAATAGTTCTATGAAATATTTTGAATTTATTAAACGTTACAACATTACAAAATCATTTTTTCATTTTGCAGCTTATCTTTTTAAATGTATTACGAAGATGATGCAATGTGGTATAAACTTGTGGTATATTGTGTTATTATTTTCATATTTTCTTATTTTCTCTTTCCAGAATACAAAACTTATACCATTTGATTTTTCAAGGAGTTCTGGTCATTGTTACACTACCGAGCTATATTTTTCCCCTTTCATAATAATTACAATGGTATTTAAATAATTGTTATGTAGTAAATATATAAATAGATAACATACTATAGATAAAAATTCAAGGCTTTGGTTAGAATGGTCTGTAGTAAGATATAAACACTTAAACTACTGTTTTCAATAGTTAGAAATAATACTGTCGAAAAACGATAACGTTAAAGTTACATTTTTCTTGTATTTCAAATTATTCAAATTCCGTTTTCCATTTTCCACCTACTTATATCTTTTATTTGTCCTCTTAAAAAACGATAACCAAAAGTCATCCTTATAACTACGCCTTAAAATAATATTTATGCTGTTGAATATGGATATATTTTTGTGGCACACAAACAATGTTTTCAAATGGCAAGAGCAACGACCTCCTCTGGCAACAATGATCATCTTGTTTACGATAAAAATTGCAGCGGTTATTTATACACTAGAAATTTACAAGATTTTTTTTTTTGTATTTCGCTAAACTGCCTTGTGCAATTAACTGCCAAGTCTTTCGGTTCGCCTTAATCGACACGAAAGTTTTTTTCTTTTCCTCGTATTGTTTCAGTCGCGTTAAAAATGGAAAGTTTTGAAAGCGGTTTAAATCGAGTGTAATTATTGTTCCTACAATAACCTCCTGTAACTTTGAGGCTAGAGCAATTACTTCGCATTTCCTATTCAGAATAGTAAAAGTTGTACTTTTTTGCGTGGGTAATTTAACCTATAAAATGTCCCAGGTGATTAGCTGATTGCTTTTTGAACGTGATTCATGAATAGATAATTACATACCCTTCAAAGAGTTATAAAATAAATAGGAATCGAGTAGAAGTTGATTTAGGTTCATAAAAAATTAACTTATGTAGCAAAAGGTAACGAACAAATCGATGTAATAGAATAGTCCGTAAGTTTCATAATATTATCTTTAATTTACGTAATAGCCTTGTATTTTTTTTATCGTAAGAATTTAATGGAATACAACGACTACGTTGCCTACTACTGTACATGCGTTATGGACCAGGGCGGATCTGTCGAAATATCCCCCTTCTTGGATGTAAGAGGGGGCAAGCTAATTTTTGCTGGAATACCTTCAGTGCAACTCACATAATAAAAGTATAGGTCCCTAGATCTGAGCGAGGTCCGGAACATTTTCAAAATTGCAAAAATGTTTTAAAAATTTAAAAAAATCCCTATTTTATTTGAGTTTTTTACTTATATCTTGAAACCTATGCATTTTGGAAGAATATTGAAGAGGGAGAAAAAGTTTTAGAATTGAATTTTGCACAATATACTGTAAATTAAAGTTGTTTAAATTTATTACCGATGTTGCAAAATAGCAATAATTGATGAAAAAAAAGCAAAATAATCAAGTTTTTTGGATAATTTTTTTAAAATATTTTAATTACTCTGAGGACATTCTAATTTTTGGACAAAAACTTTTAGAGTATAATAATACAACACACCAAATTTCATTAAAATCGGTTCTATAGTTTTCGCAAAGTAATTTTTTGAAAAAAATTTCCCAATTTTTAAAATGTTGTACAGCCTCAAATAAAGCATCTAGATACTTGAAAATTTTTTCACATAGAAAAAAACCGCTCAACCTTTCAAATGGTTTTTGAAAAATTGAAATCGGTTGATTAGGACGGCTGCAGTAAATTTTTAAAGTTAACACTGTTTTTTTATTTTTAAACAATTAGATTACATTTAACAATTTGTAATTTAGTTTTTTTCAAAAATTATAATTGTAAAGTACTATTTTTTCTTAATTTGATATGTATTTAACAAAATTCAGAGTGTTGAAATATATACGTAAAAAAATTTTTCATTGAAAGAATGCCATAGCATAGGGTGGTAAAATATACAGTATATTTAATGCATAAATAATAAACTTTGTTTATAACAAAATATGTGCAAATTAGACAGTCGGCATCACGATATTCGAATTCCTTGGCTCGCGAGACATCGGATTAAAAAAACAAGTCGAAATTGGTCCATTAGAAGCCGGGTTAATGCAATTTTTTCGTACCTTCGCATTTTGAACCTCGAATTCAGTCTCGGAGCGAAAGCCCTCTTCCCCACTTTTGTGTTTTGAGCCACTTTCCGCGCGTGCGAGCGACAGCTTTTCCGCTGATTTACCTATGTTGCCGATAACTTATAAATATGACAATTTTTTCCAGCTTAGAACTCGGAAAAATGAAACCACTGGATCAATTGCTAAATTGTTTATAAATTAACGGTAAATGCCGATAAACTTTGACCGCTTATATCTCGAGAACCAATAAACGGAGTTTAACTATTTTTTTTAAAGAAGCGTCTTTCCGAGTACTTTAAAATTATAATTTTTGAAAAAAGCTAAATTGCAAATTGATAATGTAATCTAATTGTTTAACAATAGAAAAAAAGGATATTTTTTTCAAAATTCCAGAAGATGGCCAGATTTCAGCCGATCTTCATACATTTTTTTTCTAAAATACTCGTAAAGACTTGTACTTTCATGCTCAAGTGCTATAAATTTGATTTGGGTCATATCGATTGAGTTTTGAGAGCTTAGGTTGCCAAATTTCAATTTTTTTTGTATTTTCAGAGAATAAAACGTTGACGGCTGAGAGAGCAGTAGGGGTGATTTTTTGAGGGGAAGATCTGAGATGGTATACATTTAATTTGGGTCATATTGATTGAGTTTTAAGAGGTTAAGTTGCCGATTTCCGTTATTCCAGAAAGTAAACGTTGAATATTAAGGGTAAGAGAGTAGTAAAAGTAATGTAGTGGGGAAGAAAGTGTACTTAATAAAGTTCTGAGATATCTTCAGTAAGTATATCTTCCCTTCAAAAAATTACCCTTACTGCTCTCTCACCCTTAATATTCAACGTTTTATTCTCTGAAAATACAAAAAAATTGATATTTGGCAACCTAACCTCTCAAAACTCAATCGATATGATCCAAATCAAATTTATAGCACTTGGGCATGAAAGTGCAAGTCTTTACGAGTATTTTAGAAAAAAGTGTATGACGACCGGCTGAAATCTGGTCATCTTCTGGAATTTTGAAAAAAGAACCTTAAAAAATCCCAGTGTGCGTCGTGTCTAAGCTATAAATTCTGCTGCAATT